ATTTTTAGATCACCAATATCAATGAAGTCGGAAGCAAAAGGTGAATAGTGGTATGGATAGTACCACTTCCAAGACGGAACGCCCTATATTATTAAATGGTATGCATTAGTATATAGCCTAGAATTTCGGTTTGAAAATAACAACAAAAAGACACATGCCTGGAAATAATATCGCAAAACCCAACATAGGCCTTCAATATAACTCCTTACTATGCTGAGAAAGTCAATGATTTAAAGTCAAATTATGAATATATATTAAAATAACGAGAGATATTACGTAATATGAATGGGATTTATTACGTAATACCTGTCATGCCATTAATAAAAATATAAAATATTACTTTGAGCGAAATTGTTCATCAGGCAACTCGACATCAAATTTATCCTTGTAATATCGCTTTTTAAAGCCAGGCTCCCACAGTCTGATATATAAAAAAATAAATAATATAACTCATAAGCAACAACTTTTAACAAAAAAAAAAAAAAAAACAAAAAACGACCAATACCTTATGGAGTCTTCTTGCTCTGCATCATCTGAGGGATCTACTTGAGCAGATTCACCCGATTCTTCTATTCTATCTTTAACATCAACATGAGTTTCTTGAGTACTATCATCCGAAAATTTTCTTTTTGTCCCTGCCGAATTTGAAGATAGAATTGTATCCTCATCACTCGTTGACACTTTTAGAGTTTCTGTTGAGAATTGAGTTGTAGGTGCGATTATTGTCGTTTGAGAGGATTGAAGTGTAATCAAATTTTCGGTAGGCGTCGCATCAGAAGTGGCAGTATGAACCAGGGGTTCTACTCTATGAACCGGAGGTTCTTCTCCACTCAACTCAGCCTTTAATAATTGAGCAGCACTCAAATTAGCCATACGTAGCGCCTGCCGATTGGCAACAACCTCTTGATTTGTTCTCGCACGGATTTGCGGGTCAAGACCTTTAACGGGAAGAAGAGGCATTCCAACGGGCAAATGATCTAAGCCTGACGCAGGGTATACACCAGTTGGAGAATATTTATCATTAATCCGTCGGCGCTTGGGCGCAGGTTGCGAGGCACGTCTTTGATGATCTTTAATAAAAAGATTTTAATAAAAAATTTTAATAAAAGTTTTTAATATATTAAAGGTTATGGTTGAAATATTATCATTTACCTCTATGCCTTCTAATGAAAATTTCATCTTCCATTTTACCTAATTCAGTCACCAAATATTGCATCCTTTTTAGATCTACCTAATCATTATTAATATATAAACTTATATTTAATTTTCAAAATAAATAACTAAATAAAAAAAAATCAATAAATAAAATAAAGTAAAATGAAAATCATATTTTATATACTTGCATTTCCACAATTCGTTATATATCCATTCATTAATTGTAGACAACGTTTCCATATAGATATCAA